ACTTTCGCAAGGCACTGTATATTACTACTACTAATTTCCCATTAGGGGTCGCCACAGTGAATCAACTGTTCACATGTATACATTTGGCAAGCGTTTTACACTGGATGCCCTTACTGACGCAGCAGTAATATGTATTATATTGGCTTTTTTATTTAAAATGGCTGTCCCCTGACTTGGCGCTTGATTTGATGAATGGCTCTATGGAATTGTAGATATAGTCGGACAGAAATCTGGTGTCACTGTTGGAGTAGGTTGTTAGTAAGGCTGCACCCACACTTACAATACCAGCAACTGCAGCTACTTTTACTAGTCCTTTTGAACGTGAACGCAACAAACCTCCGGTCTGAACCACAGGAGCTGGCTCCTCAGTAGCTGGTTTGTAGGCAACTGTGTTTTTTTCCTCAAGATTGATCACCTCAGCGGTGAGACTCCTGGTCTCTTTGTCCTCACATTCTTGGAAATCATAAACTTCTAGCTCCAAATTTTTATAGTCGTCCAACAAATTTCTATTCTCTGCCAACAGATTATCGTTTTCTGTTTGTTTTTCCTCAAGCTGAGATTTAAATGTGGCCATCTCAGTGGTGAGTATCCCGATCTTGTTGTTCTCATATTTTTGGAAATCATGAACTTGTGCATGCAGATTTCTATTAATTTCCAACACATTTTCATTCACTACCAACAAGTTTTTGTTTTCTGTCTGTTCTTGCTCAAGCTGAGATTTAAGTGTGTTCATCTCAATGATGAGTCTCCTGATCTTTTTGTTCTCACGTTCTTGGAGATTATGAATTTTTGCAAGCAGCTTTCCATTATATTCCAACAGATTTTCATGTTTGTTCTCTGTCTGTTTTTCCTCAAACTGAGATTTAAATGTGGCCATCTCAGTGGTGAGTATCCTGATCTTTTTGGTCTTACTTTCTTGGATACCATGAACTTTTGCATACAGATTTTTGTTTTCTGCCAACAGATGTGTGTTTTCTGTTTGTTTTTCCCCAAGCTGAGATTTAAATATGGCCACCTCAGCGATGAGTCTGCTGATCGCTTTGTTGTTACATTCTTGGAGATCATAAGCTCTTGTTTGCAGGATTTCATTCTCTGCAAGCACATTTTCAAACTCTACAAACAGATTTTCATGCTCTGCTATCAGATTATCGTTTTCTGTGTGTGTTTCCTCAAGCTGAGATTTAAGTGTGGCCATCTCAGTGCTGAGCCTCCTGCTTTGTTCGCTCTCATTTTCTTGAAGCTCATGAACTTTTGAATGCAGATTTGTGTTCTCTGCCAACAAGTTTTTGTTCTCTGTCTGTTTTTCCTCAAGCTGAGATTTATGCCTGTACATCTCAGCGGTGAGTCTCCTGATCTCATTGTTCTCACACCCTTGGCGATCATGAACCTCTCGCTCCAGATTTGCATAGTCTTCCAGCAGATTTCTATTCTCTGCCAACAGATTTTCATTCTCTGCCAACAGATTATTGTTTTCTGTCTGTTTTACCTCAAGCTGGGATTTAAGTGTGGCCATCTCAGTGGTGAGGCTCCTGCTTTTTTCATTCTCATTTTCTTGAAGCTCATGAACTTTTGAATGCAGATTTGTGTTCTCTGCCAACAGGTTTTTGTTCTCTGTCTGTTTTTCCTCAAACTGAGATTTAAATGTGGCCATCTCAGTGGTGAGTATCCTGATCTTTTTGGTCTTACTTTCTTGGATACCATGAACTTTTGCATACAGATTTTTGTTTTCTGCCAACAGATGTGTGTTTTCTGTTTGTTTTTCCCCAAGCTGAGATTTAAATATGGCCACCTCAGCGATGAGTCTGCTGATCGCTTTGTTGTTACATTCTTGGAGATCATAAGCTCTTGTTTGCAGGATTTCATTCTCTGCAAGCACATTTTCAAACTCTACAAACAGATTTTCATGCTCTGCTATCAGATTATCGTTTTCTGTGTGTGTTTCCTCAAGCTGAGATTTAAGTGTGGCCATCTCAGTGCTGAGCCTCCTGCTTTGTTCGCTCTCATTTTCTTGAAGCTCATGAACTTTTGAATGCAGATTTGTGTTCTCTGCCAACAAGTTTTTGTTCTCTGTCTGTTTTTCTTCAAGCTGAGATTTAAGCCTGTACATCTCAGCGGTGAGTCTCCTGATCTCATTGTTCTCACACCCTTGGCGATCATGAACCTCTCGCTCCAGATTTGCATAGTCTTCCAGCAGATTTCTATTCTCTGCCAACAGATTTTCATTCTCTGCCAACAGATTTTCATTCTCTGCCAACAGATTTTCATTCTCTGCCAACAGATTATCGTTTTCTGTCTGTTTTACCTCAAGCTGGGATTTAAACATGGCCAACTCAGCGGTGAGCCTCCTGCTCTCTTCAATCTCATTTTTTTGGAGATCATTAACTTTTGTTTGCAGATTTTCATTGTGTGCCAACAGATTTTTGTTCTTTTCCTCCTTAATTATTATCTCCAATTTGGGTCCTATCTCTTCCCTGGAGTTCTGCATTGTGTGGAGATCTGTTTGACAATTAAGATGAAGTGTTGTATATTTGTCTCTGCTGGCCATTATTTCTTTAAAGTCCAACTCAACCGTCCTTTTTTCTGATAGGAGTTTAGCAACGTGCCTTGATTCAAGCATTTCTGCATTTCTTTGTGATTGCTCCATTATCTCTGAAAAACACCAAGAAATGTTAAAATAAACTACAGCACCTTAAAATAACTGTCGTGTATAGAACTTGTTCGCGACCTCTTAGCTGAAAAGTTTCTAGGGTCTGACTCTTGTGGATATCTAATGATGACGCAATGCTCCTTTGACGTGAGGATTCCCTACGCCCCGCCCCGCCCCGCC